CCCGTAGCATGGCGGCTGAGCAGCCTGGGGAGCAGGGCTCACAGCAACACTCTCTCACAGAGCCCAGGTACGCGGGGGACCCTCAGCACGTTCACGAGTTTGGCTGAAGAACCCTCTCTCCCCAGCTCTGCTCTGACCTTACGGTTACACTCCCCTGTTGGATACAAAAAAGATCCACACAACCCAAGAGGGAGCAGGGCTGCCTCCCCCCATTTGGCAACCCCAGGCTTCCGGCTGGCTCTGGCTCCACACTTGGCTGAGCTGGTGGAGCGAGGCAGCCAGGACAGCCAATTCCATCTGCCAGGCTCCAGCCAACTCATCCCCCCCCCCCTGCCATTCTGAGAGAGGCAATTGTTGGCCAGGCTTGGCAAATCCTGTGGCTGCCTCTGTAATAAACTCCCGCACAGCAGGTGTAGGGGTCAGGGGGCGAGGAGACTCATGGGGTCCTGGCCCTGCATGTGCCAGCTCAGATTCCTTCCAGGGTTTCATTCCTGGCCATAGCCACGAGAGTTCCATGAAGCCTCCATTCAAAAGCTGAATTTCCACGAGTAGGCGAGCTCAGAGGGTCTTTTGAGAATCTGTTCCCATGTCTGTGGCAGGAGCCCCCATACACACAGGCCACAGGTAACCTCAACTCAGCAGTGGGGAAAGCCACCGTGCCCACTTGTCCTCACAGCCTCCCTGTATCTGCTGACTCCTGTCGCCCTTCGGCTCACTGCGCCAGGCCCTGCACCAGTACCTCTGGACGTCATCGAGTCTCATGTGATAGTGCAAACATGGCAGCACCCTGGACCGAGATAAGAAAGCTGAGACCTTTCTAGACCTTGAGAGCTGTGATGAGTGTCCTGGGTCCCATCCCAGCCCTGCCCCTGCCTTTTAGATGACTATGGACTGTCTCCCCTGGCTGAACCTCAGTTTCTCTATCTGCACTCCTCCATCTGCCACTACTCTCTCCACAGCCCTGCTTCCCCAGCCTCCCCTGCCTGGGGGCATGGGCCTTCCCACTGAGGGCTCCCCACTGAGAGTGCAGAGTGAGGCCTGCCTCCACTGCCCTGGCATGTGCATGGCCATAGGGAGAGATGTGGACCCCAACCACGGGCAGGGGCTGATGGCCAGGGGACAGTCGCTTCATCTTGCTCCTTCCCCATTGACTCTACCTGCCCAATCACCCCTTCCCCAGGGGTCCTCCTGACCCCTCGCCCTCCTGTTCCTCCTGACATTGCCATCCTCTGTGTTCTCACACTGCGGCCCCTCTCCCACTAGCATTCCAGCTCTGCCTCAGCCTCCCTCCCAGAAGATACCCAGGCCCGGTGCCCGGAGCAGTGTCTGGCCCAGAGAAGGTGCTCTCGGTTGGTACTGCAGCCTGGAGGAAGCTCATCTGACCCAGAAGGTGGTCCTGCCCTGCTCCTAAACTGGCTTCTGGGGACCAGAAAGAGCCTCCACCCCAGGATGCCCTCACCTGGGGCTCAACGGCAAGCAGACCTCCCTGCGGCTCTGCGGTCTCCCCAGGGCCCCATGGCAGCAGCACTCTAGCTAACAGGAAGCCTGAGGCCCTGCCCTGACACCCATGGGTCCTGCCTGTCCACAGACCCAGAGGACCTTTGGTATACACCCACTTCCCGGCCCACAAGGACCTTTAGATGTCTCTCCCTGATCCCCAGAATCCTCACCCAATTCCCCACACGCTTCAACCCTCGCAAAGCCTCCAGCTCAAAGCCCCACTGCTCCCACACCCCAGGCCAAGGGCTCCCACCCCAGCTGTCAGGCAACCCTTTCCTCAATGTGCCCCAGCTAGGATCTCTATCTCTATTAGGAGGAGCTCCCCACCTTTAGACCAATTATTCAGCACAGGGCTGGGTGCCCACTGAGTCTCAGAGGGCTTGTCCCCACTCCATCTCATGGTCCAGAAGTCACTGCAGAACTCCATGGCCAACCGAGTCTGGAGATGTCCAGGGCTCAGGCTCTTACTGCCCCTCAACTGTCCAGCGCAGCTCTGGGAGTGGTCCCCACCCTATGTGCTCACCCAAGGGCTCTGAGCTGTCCCACACCCCTTCCCGGGCTGCGCACTCACTCTTGGCTTTCTCGTTTTTGCGCGAGGGCCGCCAGCGGATACAGGAACGGTGCTCATCCAGGTAGTAGAAGCGGACCAGGCCCTTGGAACTGCCACGGAGCTTCACCATTTGTGTCCCCTCCTGCATGGTGCTCATACATCGCTCCACTGGAAGTAGACAGACAGACTAACTCAGAGACAGACACAGTGTGTCAACAAGCACCACGACAAAGCCCACCACCTGCCCGGGGATCCCATGTGCTCAAGATGGGCACAGAGGCCGACCACCTACCTATCTGCCCGCTTGCCCACTGCTAGCCAAGGCCGGACCCCCAGGGCTGCCTGCCGCTCCAGGTGCTGGCTCAGAGACACAGCTCAGTCCCAGATAGGCCCTTGCTCCTGCCTGCCTAGCCATCTGCTTGTCCCCCTCCACCTGGCCATCATTCAGACTGAAGAGCACTGGAAGTCAGCAGGGTGGTGACCTGGGGATGCACAGATGCAGCAGCTGAGCTGGGCTGGCCCTCAGGAGCCACTGGGGAAGGAGCCCCAGGCAGAGCTACCCCACGCCCAGCCTGGCTGCTGGCCCCAGTCATAGGTCTTGTTCCTGAGTCCCCATGCCCTGTTACTGTGGCATCTTTAGGAAAGCTACCCTCCCCCACACAAGGAAGCATCATCTCTGTTCGCTCCCCAAGGCCACAGGGAGTAAGCCCTGCTCGAGGACATAGATCTGGGAAGTCGTGGCCCTAGATTTGAGTTCCATAGCACACACTCACCTGTGCCCACCTGCCCCCTCTCCTCTGTCCACCTCCTCCCTGCAGCTGTGTATTTCCCAGGCCCCAGAGGAGGAGGCCGTGGGCTCCAGGCAGGTCAGACCAGGTCATCCGGCCCCAGCCCAGGAACGAGTCAACCCTGCACCCCTCAGGCCCTGCCCACCTGCTTACAGAAAACCCAGGCCTAGAAGTACCATCTTCTGAAGCACAAGGAAACTAACCTCCATAATGGGACCCTCCCCACCACAGTAGGCATCACAGAGGACCATGGCCAGCACCAGCCCTGGAGAACCTCTTAGAAGGAGAGGCTGATATCTGAATGTAAGTAGAAGGGAACTGCAGGCAGGTGAGGACACAGGTGTGGCTGCTGGGGACAAGGACAGGCCCCACAGGCATAGAACAGGACCCATGTCTGGGCTCAAGCCTGGGACCCTCCCAGGGGCACACTACTAGCTGTGTGAGCGGGGCTCTGGAAGGTGGCTGCCTGGACAGGCCCTGTCTACCGCTGGAGCAGACAGGCAGCACGGACAGCTCTGACAGGGCTCCCACGGGCCACCGAGAGACACGCTCAGCTCTTCTGCCTGCAGGCCCCTCCCAACTCTGCAGTCTCACAGAGGCCAGAGGCCCTCTGCCCACCTCTAAGCATCAAGGGCCATTGTGCCTGGTATCAGCCCCCTGGCCCACCTCCACCCAGGCTGAATGTGCCACTGACCCCCAAGATGCCAGAAACCTCCCACAACAAAAGCGTCAGAGCTACCTGAGTTTCCACGGCACACTCACACCAGGCCTGTCCCTTCCCCTCCCCACAGAGGAGAGGCAACAGGGCTTGGAGGGCTCCTCTGAGAAGCAGAAGGGTGGGGACAGCCATCATTACCAGTTTTCTTGACCCCCCAGAGGGACAGCCAAGGTGCTGGGAAGTTAGAGGCTTGAGTGGGGTCCAATGTGAGACCCCAGGACTTCCACACTTCCAGGAGCAGCACCCACCCCCCGAGGCACCCACATGGCCCTGTGGCCCCAGCTGGGTGCATCTTCCCTGCCCCTTCTTACCTAGTGAGTCTGGCTGCCACTGAGGAGAAATCACCACGCTCCCTCCAACCCAGAGGAACACCTCCACCAGGCAGGCCACCGCTCCTTTGGCCCGGCTAGTAGCAGATGACCAAGGGTCAGATAGGCCCAGATGGTGGCCAGGGTCCGACTCCGGGATCCTAGGGAGGGCTGGTGCCCCCGATCCTGCCCTCAGTGACATGTCACACAGAGGCTCCACAGGGCCCCGTTCTCTCCTCTGCATCTTCCTCCTCTCCCTCAGAGCTCCCTGAAGCCCCCTCAGGGCTGTTCCCTGGCCGTGCTGGCATTGGCCTAACTCTTGCCTGCTGTCTCAGATGGCTCCCAGGCCAGCCCACCCACCCTCCAGGGCCCCCAAGCAGTCCCTGAGGAAGCTGGGTCCAGGGGCTGCAGGAGCCGCGCCCCGCGAGGCCTCTGCTCCGCCCACACTTCGGCCAATCCCCTGCACTAATCCTAGCTGGCTCCGGCCCAGCTGGCTAGAGGATTTAGGCCAAGGGAACTCCCAGCTGGGACCAGGAGGGCTGGGAGGCAGCAGAGTCATCCAAGGGCCCAGGCCACCAGGCTGAGGAATGACGGACAGCTAGGTGGCCTTCCTGGGAACCCAAATGACACACCGATCAGGCCTGGGGATCCTCCCAGAGGCACACTAGAGGGCACGTGTGGGTTGGGTTCCCACATTCCTGCCCTCACCAGATGCCCGAGGCGGCTATCTGTTCCTCTCCATCTCAGCCTGGGTCTCGGACAAGCCCTGCTCATCCCCCACGCCCTTCATACCTCCAACGGGATCCTCTGAGCCTGGAAGCTGGTGGACCTGGAGGTGAGCTAGAAGCAGCAGCAGCTTGTGCCAGCGCCTGGCCCTCCGGTGCTGGAAAGCACAGCCCAGTGGACCAGGGCCACTTGCTAGGCCTTTCTGACCCCGGCCCTGCATGCCCCTTCTGCTGCAACCGTCACCTCGGCTGGAGGGTGTAGGTCCCCGGAGTGTGGTCCAGCACTGCTGTCTCCCTTGCTCATGGGAGGCCCCGAGGCCTGGGCTCCCATCTGACCTTTCCCCAGGCCACAGCCTGCAGAGGAGGCGGCGCAGTGCCCAGCCACATTCATCACCACATTCTGCCCCCTCATGGCCACCTGATTGGAGAGGGGGCCTGGTCAGGGAGGGCCTGCCCACCCTCCCACCAGCCAGCTGGCTGTAGGGCACAGTGGAAGCCAGCCACGGCTGCCCTGGGGACATCGAGCACCTAAGGAGCAGAGGGCACTCCTCCAGTGGAGCTCTGGGGAGTGGAGAGCAGGAGAGATGGGGGTCACTGGGCATCCCAAGCTATCTCACCCCTGCCAGGCCCCCATTAAAGGACAGGTTGGCCCTGGGAGCCCCTGCCAGCTGAGCTGGCCCCATAGCTGCAACAACCCTACTGGGGACTCCTTTGGCCACTGGGCCCCTGGGCCCCCCATCCCTCCCTATTCACCATCAACATGCCCTGGACAACAGGAAGCCTGGCCAGATCCCCTGTAATCGACTCAAAGCCAGACCCCAGAACCCAATTAGGAGCAGTTGTACAGCGGGGGCCAGCAGGCGGCTCTGCACTTTCTGCCATGGAATTGAATTAGGGTGCCATTAGCCACAGAGACAGGAAAGGGCAGGAGTCCTGGGAGTCCTCCAGAAGACAGCACTGCCACCCGTGTAAGGGCATCCCCAGGGGAGCATCAGGGCCAAAGCTAGGTCAGGAGGCGAGTCCAAGTACCTGGGGACACTGGCCCTGGGGACCCCATGCTCCATGCCCGGAGCCACATGTCCCCTGCCCTGTGCACAAGCGAGCTATGCCTTATTCCGTCAGAGGGCCCCCCACAAAGCCAGCTACTCTCTTCCCGCTTGGAAGCCCATGACTCCTCACACCCGGAAAGAGCAAGTTCTCCCTCTGCCCTCAGAGGTCTCCATGTCCCTGGATGTCCCTGCCCTGTGTGGTGGCCTCCCACCATCCTCTCTCCCTTCCTCAAAGCTTCCCAGGGCTGGCTGCCCCTGCCCCCACCCCCACTGCCTTGGGCCATGCCTTCCGGCTCTCAGCCACTAACTAGTCTCCCTCTAGCCAGGGCAGGGGTTCTGGGACAGAGCACAGATCGAGTAGGCCTAGCCACAGCCCCCCAACATGAGGTCCAGACCCCTGCACCCTCGACTCCCCTCTTCAGTTGTCCCAGGCCATAATCTTCCGCTTACCAGGCAGATGAAAGCCAGCTAATCTGCCCTGATTCAGGGCTCTGCCAGTGAGGCCCCTTGGCTGCCCTCTGGACCAAGGTGACCCCACCCCACCTCTAACACTCCAAGACAGATGGACACAGAACTACACACAGCTGCCGAGAGTGCCAAGGACAGGGCAGGGGAGTCCCAGCCCGGGGGTGTCCATGTTGCGCTCACAGTGCAGCTGAGCTAGACCAGGTCCAAGCAAAGGCTAGGCCCCAGGTCACTGGCCAAGCGAGGCTGAACTTACCTAGATGCCCACAGGCCCTGAACCCAGATAGCTTGAGGTTGGCCCCACCCCTCCCTTAGCTCCCACCCACTGCCTCCAGCAGGGCAGCAGCCCTAGAACAGCCAGGTACATGCCAGGTGGGAGAGCACCCCTTCCCCCCAGCTCCTCAAGGGCTTGAGGGGGCAATGCCAGCCAGGAGCCTCACATCCACCATCCACAGGGGTCCACTCTATTCCTGCAGAGTCACACTCAGAGCCCAGGTCCAGGGACTTGAGAAACCTACCCAGGTGCTGCCTAGAGAAGACCCAGGGCCAACACCTGGAGGCCAGATAGTGCCCCCATATGAGCTCATGAAAGGGAGCTTGCCCTTCCTGTCCTGGACCACACACCAGCTGCCCCGAGCAACCAAGACAGCCAGGATGCTGTGTCTCTCAAAGGCCACCAGCTCCTACCATGGTCCACGCCTCCAGCCTGCTTCAGTTCCTTCTGCCCAAGATGAACCAGGACACCTGAAACAGCCTCTCCTGCCTAGCGCCCTGCAGTTGCCCCTGCAGGGGCTCAGATAGGAGTCGAGTTACTGCTCCCAGGTGGGCTACACCCGCTCTCCAGCCGCTCAGACCAGGCCAAGTGGGCACTGGCAGCCCTTGTCGGGGAAGAGCATCCGTGGGGAAAAGGCAAAGCGCTGGTCTAGGGGTTATTTCCCAGGCCACTCCTCTCCCTCAGCCCCCACTTTGCTCCTTAAGGTCCCTCCAGCACTGTCTGACCCCTGGGGTGCCCCGTGGGCAGGATCTCACCCTCCTGCTCCCTGTTCAATCCCTGCACATGCAACAACCCAGCACCTCTCAGGCACTTGCTGGACAAGTGTGGGTGAAGAGGAAAA